GTCAACAAGCCTGGTGAGTACAAGGACCCCGTGGTCCCGAGGCTGGACAGAAATGAGGTCTCCATGCTCAAGTGTTGTGCTTGTGCCGGCGATCAATGGCCACGGCATGTCCCGCACATAAATGTGTGGGTCTGGGGCAACCGAAGACCCAGCAAGAGCAAGTAGTTGCTGTCGAGTGGCATGGGGTGGGGCCGCAGCGGCAAAGAAGCTGTCGGGAGTAGAGCCATTTTCGAACAGGACACACACATTTGGCCCGTCCCATGGAGGGAGTGCAAGCAGGATGGCCCTGTCAGGGTATGGTTGGTGGCTGGCAGGAATCAGCCTCGGAAACCAGCGTCTTCGGACAGCGTTCCTGGCTCTGGTGATAATCTGAAAAGCTCTTCGTGGTTCGCACGGAATAGGGAGACGGACTGTAAGCGTCTCAGGCGCATAATCAGGAACGCAGACTAAGAAGGTCGCAAGGACAGAGGTATCATTGTGAGCACGGTCCTGCCGAGTATGCCCGGCATACGCAGCGTCAGTTCCGGCAGGGAGGTCATGATGGTCATATCGCCCTGGGGCGTCGGGCCTGGCCGGTGTGGACCCGGTGTCTGCAGGGCCGAGTCGTGATGAGCTTTCAGAGGTGGGAGAGGCCCCAGTCGTGTGCCCAACTGGCGCAAAAACTGGTCCGGCGTTGGGGTGGGGAGGTGAGTCTGCATTAGTAGCATCTGCAACAGCAGTGACTTGCACAACTTGACCCGGCGCAAGCCACAACACCCCGGTTCGTTCAGGGAGGCCATCAAGGCGCAAGGCATGGCCGGGAGGGGCATATTCGCGCAAGGCAGCAAACAAAGTCCGCTGGCTGACGAAACCATTGTGTAGGTGGACAATGCGCCACGACGCCGTAATAGGTCTGCAATCTAGCAGTGCGCAATGCCAGACAAGGCCGGGATTGCCATGAGGTGGGTGTCCAATTGCAAGGACGGAGGTACACACAATCCCTTCCAATGCAACATCGGCTGGAACTGGGTTGGCGGCAAACAGGCGCATGCGGGCAGGATCAGCCCCGGAAGCTCCTGCGATGGCATCCCTGTATCGCATGGGGTACCTAGTAGCCTCTATGCACAGACGGGCGGGTCCCTGGTGTACTAGACAGTGGGCCTCGGTCATGACCGGTGTTCTCAGTGTAGCATGACCGTCCCAGAAATATCGGGATTGCAGCAGCTCACCAAGGGTGTAGTTGACAGGATGTGGCGACCCGATATGGAGAAAGGTAATCAGAGCTCCAGGGAACAGATGCACCGGGTCCTCGTCAATGGGAATCTGATCAACCCCAAAAAGGACCTCATATTCGATTTCTCGAAGCAGTCCAGCAAGCTTGACAAGCTCAAGTTTGGAGCAGTACTGCGGTGCCTGTACTAGGAAGAGGCGGCCATCTATTGATGTGGTGTCCAAACAGACAAGGTCAGTGCCATGGGCCCATGGGGGAAAAGCCGCAAAAACTGCTACCCCGTGTGACGGTTGAGGTAGGATGGAAAGGAGGTTGGGAAACAGGGCAGCCGGATCATGTCGGCGGGCAGCCTGTGCAGCCTCGATTGCCTCGTCTTGTGCAGCAGGAACCTGAATGGCAACAAGTAAGTGCTCCGGGACATACTCGAGGCGCAAAATGACACAAGGAACTGTTGTAAGTTCCTCCTCCTGCTCAGAATCAGAGGAAGGTGAGTCCTCAGCTATCCCAAGGCCGAGTCCTATGTTCCGAAAAGGAGGATCAGTGATCCATTGTCCCCCAAGGCGTCTGGTGGCCCATCGGAGCCGGCTAAGGGCTCTGCGCTCGGCTTGGTTGTGGCATGCAGGCTCTTGGAGGAGCTTGTCCTCACAAGTCTGTGATTGTCGTCGGCAAACAAGCCAGAGAACAATGCCACAACTGATGCCAACCCCAAGAAGGAAGGCAAGGAGGTGCAGACTTGCAGCACTCCAACAGTCTACTCTAGTGTCGGCAAAGCAGTGATGGCGGATATCAATGGAGACACTCCCGCGGCAGGTGGGAAGGCTACTGGCGGTACTGGGCTGGGTCAGCCCAAGTATAACCCCTAGGGAAGAAACCGCAAGTGCCCTATCAGACCCTGGGACAGTTGCAGGTCCAGTCGGGGCTCCCCTAGGTGACCTGGTTCGTGACCTTGTCCGGGACCTGGACCTAGGCTCGGAGGGGGGGGAGTACCTAACTGGCCCAGGTGGGGGGGGGCCTGCTGGTGGTGCAGAAGGGCTGTGGACCGCATCGGGCTGCTCAGGGTCGGAGTGACACCCGGACTCCTCTTCTGATTCATCGGCAGCAGTGGAGCTACTTTCATCGGTACTCCAGGGATCATCTGGCTTAAACCCGAAAACAACAACAGCCCCTTCGGTCAGCTCTAAGGTCCCTGATCTACCTGGTCGAGGGCAGACCGCAATCCTGTAGCATGGCGGTGGCCGAAGGTGAAGGTACCGGATCAAAATATGTGGATCGGCTGTCGGTGTCGGGAGGTAGATGTGTGATACATCCTGGCCTGCCTGCCTTGCATCAAGGAAGACTAGGATGCCTGTCCGATCTACTGTAGGGGTCAGGGGGTATATCGCAAGAACATCTCGGCATGGTGTCCCTCGGTATACGACATCGGCAAGCTCGTCACCAGCAGGTGCAACAAAAAGTGTTCTGGCGGGGGTGCGGTCAACGAGGTCGGCTAGGAACCTCAGGGCAGGTATACCAGGGAACCTGTTGGCACTGTACGTCAGCCTGTGATCATGATACAGTGTCAGGACCGGTCTGTCAACAGTTTCGGTTGGTTGTGCCAGCCACCATTGAGGTCTGTCAAAGCGAGCTGTGAGGGTACAGCACCACTGGGCTGGAACACCTGATGGTTGATACTGAATGACACAGCCAAGGGTCGCCAAGATGGTATCGCCGGGTTCTAGGGCTCGGGAGCATCCCTGTGCGTGGATGCTACAATCAAGGTGCCCATGGTGCGAGGCCTCTCGTAGGCACTCATAGTGCGTAATGCTTTCGTGTGTGATATCAGCATAAACTGGACCTCCTAATGCTCGAAAGTCATGAACAATGACCTGCTTGCTCACCTGTGGAATCCATTTCGGTGCGACGACAATCGATGCAAAGTCTGGTCCGAGTTGCGGTGCTGTCGGGGCGGTAACAGTACAAAAAGGAAGGCGCAGTTTATGCAAGCGATCCCGAACAGCATTATGAAAAGTGACGAGATCGAATGGAGGGCGTAGAGTCAGCCGTAGGACCTCGTGCTGGTGCCCGGGTGCAAGTACGAGACAAACGCCTTCAAAAGATGGCCTCTCAGGGTCTCCAACCTCAGGTGGCAGATGGAGTGGGGGGATAGGGAGCTCGGCATTGTTCTCAAGTGGTTGTTCGAGAACATGTCGCTGGGCCGCCTGCATTAGGCGGATTCTGCCATCAAGCTCGTCAAGGTCCGGGCGGTCAGCTGCATTCGGAACACCGTTGCCTAGCCTGTCTGGCCTAAAGCTAACGTAATGTTCTGCACCTTGGACGACATCGTGCCATTGCTGAGGTACGGCCCAAACCTGCTGTGGGAGGCACCCAAAGACTAGCCAACCTAGCAAGTTCCAGAGGTTGCGAGGGTAGTTGGGATGGTGGCAATGGCTAGCCTGCGTTTTTGGGGAGGTCCTAATGCCTATGCGCCCTGAAGGCCTCCTATGTCGGCCAAAGCTAGCAGCTTCACAGTGAGTGGAGTGCTGGGAAGGCGAAAAGGCGATGGCAGGCAATAGAATGCCGCAGGGAATGCCCCTAGTTGGGAGTAGAATACACCACCCCAAAGGGGTATGCTGTGCCCTTAGTGGCCATATCAACAGGCGCACAAGGGCGCAAAAGGTCAGAAATGCCAAGTGCAGGAAGAAAGGGCAAAGGTGTTGACTAGCCCATCTGCCGGCAGCACCGTCGGCATCTGTTAAACCGGGAGATCGGGCCTTAGGGGAAACTAAACCCCTAGGGGGGGCGGGACTAAGCCCAAATGAAGTGCTCGCCTGTCTGCTGGTGGACGTCCCAGAGCCACCGATACGTCTCTTTGGCACCCAGCAGAAAAAGGACAGAACAGGAAGATGTGACTCAACCTGGAGCGAAGGGAGTCCGCACACAAGCACCCGCAGAAGGCAATCTGTGCAGGGCTCGGTAGTGGGGGGCAATGAAAGTGAGCCCGAAGGTGTACAGTGCCATACACCACGATGAGCACCATCACCGCCATCACCGTTAGAAAAGTGGTCCGTGACATCCTTGCAAAAGGGACCTTCGCGCGGCGTGTCTGCATGACGCAGCGAGTCTAAAAATGGGAACCCTACACTGGTGGACGTCCCTGCGCCACCGATACGTCTCTTGGGCACACAGTGTGTACGGGTTCTCTCTGAATTGGCAAACTGGCATGACATGGACGCTGTCGACCAGGCCAAACAGACGCTCAGTTGTGTGGCATCTAAACCCCTATGGGGAAGGAGCCCTAAACCACAAATACTAGGGGCTCGGGCAGTGGTGACAGCTGTCAGCAACACACAAGCCCAGTGCGAGCTGGCAGCCGTGATGGGGGGACCCGACGTCCCAAGATGGCCTGCACAGTCCAGTGTCAGGACTATCCCGGGATGGGTCCAGGTTGGATGGATATGGAATCGGGAGCCGGGAGCGGGAATGGAGGCATGGCAGCTTGAAGGAAGGCCAAAACCCATGTGGCAATGATCAAGGAGAGCATCAAGGGAACCGTTGGAAAATGGGCACACTGCTACAAAAGAGGTGTGAAACCGGATGTGTCCAGAGCAATCCATGTCAAAGACCTGCGTGGCTAAGCCTTGCCCACAGGAAGCTCGCTCAGCAGGTGTCTGACCCAAAGACACCTGAAGGCATCGTCCCTCTAGGCGGCGAAGCACACGCCGTCTATGACACCGATCGCCGGACAGATCCCTAAGGTCAGCAGGCTCGGCCCACGGTCTCATAGTCTGTCGCTCCTTCTCGCAAGGACTTGCTAGCCCATCCCATCCAGTTTGCTGTTGGTCTCCCCGTCTGGCTTGTGGTCCATATGCAAATCCTCGTCGGACTCCGAGATGTTCTGCTGTCCAGCAGCCATCGAATGCGGCTCGGTGGCACGAAGGCTGGGATCCAGACCGAACGGTTGTAGGGCCTGACGCTTGGCCTCCAACTTGTCTGCCAGGCCCGCGCAACCCGTGCCTGTGTGCACTGGTTGCAGAATTCCGCCTTTGATTGGTTGCTTCTGGCCCTTGGCTTTGTTCCCCGGGCTGGCAGCAGGCGCCGGATTCACCATCGGTATGCCAAGCTCGGGTCGTGTCGAGGTGGGCGAAGTCGGAAATGGAGTGGGCGGGGGCTCCTTGTTCACAGTCGGCGGGCCTGGATCTGTCACGGTTGTCGTTGGCCGAGCCTGTCCGGATAGGACTCCCTGGACATCCAAGCCAGGGGGAAGGCTCGCAATAGTAGCATGTAGCAGCCGCGCCGCCACCTCTGGGGTCATCAGCCGGCCAAGTCCATCCTGATTCCCACTGGGCTGTGCATGCACAGAGTCCGCAGCATTCAAGGCGTCGCCAAGGAATCCTTCTGGCTGGACCTCGGTTCCAGCTCCGATCAAGGAGTCCCATGCATTCTCCGCCTCGGTGACTGCAGGGGCCCTCGTCACCTTGCGACCATTCACGATATCCCGGACGTCCTGGGCAGCCGTGTGTCCTTGTCTGGTCGCCTCCGCTATGTCTGCTTCTATTCGTTGCAGGGCCGCCTCGTAGCGCCCTCTCTCTTTCACATACTCCTCCTTGTGTTCTTTCTCGTAACGCTTCCATTGCTCTTGTTTCCTTTGGCTCTCTTCTCGAAGCCGTCGCACGCGGCCATCCGCTTTTCTCGCATTGGTCAGAGCTCGCTGCACATCTCGCATGTCGTCCGAACCACCCTCTGGGTCCACCCAGGCATTCTTGCTTTTGCCTTTGCCCTTCCATGCTCCACCGTCGGCAGGCAAGGGCATCTGGTCGTAGTGCGGGCGGCCCTTCGGGGATGCCGATGCATAGGCACCGTGCCAGACTTTCCACGGTGGCCGAGATGTAGAGTAGGATGACCAATCTTGATCTTGCCACTCTTCTGCTTGCCATGACTTCTTGCCGCCCATGTCACGCTTCCCAGAAGGAAAGGATGCAGTTTCCCGGTAAACCGGTGCAGAGTGGTGACGGCTCAGAATGGCAACTGCCCGTCGAGGAGGAAGTCGATGACACCCTCTAGAGGCGTGGATCAAACCACGCAATCGCGATCGTTTCGCCCGTAAATGGCGGTGCCAGGAAGGCGAAGGCCTAGGAATGTTCCTAAGCGTGCTTTCGCACTGGGGTCTACGGCAATACCCAGCCAGGTGCTGGATTCGATCCGAAACCCTACATATATACATATATACATATACACATATATATATATATATACACACATATTTGTATTTGTATATATATATATACATACGTACATATGCATATCCTCTGTAGGTCTAGTTATATCATATCACAAATACTGCATGAATTTCGAATGCACAAAACCTTATGCAAAATACGTGTATATGCATACTCGCAATTTTTGGGTATGTGTATATGTGCATATATGCACATAGGCCTGTCTGTGTGTATGCACTCAAGATCTCCTGTGTTCTTGCTCAAGGGCTGAATTTAAGTTACCATAAGAAGGAAGCCATATTATTTACTATAGACCCCAATATGCTAACTTAAATTAAATCCTTGAACTAGAACCAATAAACCCTAAACCCTAAATTCCTAGACCCTTAATTCCTTAACCGTAAATTCCTAAACTCTAAATTCCTAAACCCTAAATTCCTAAACCCCAAACCCTAAATTCCTTAACCCTAATTCCTAAGCCCTCTATAAATTCCTAAACCCTAAACTGACAAAACCCTACACTCCTAATCCTTAAGTTCCGAAACCCTAAAATTCCTGTTCAAGAACCCCAGTCTTTCGGCCCATGGCCTCTTCGCCGTAGTCCTCCGGCCAAGACCTGGGAGCCGCTGAAGCGGCAACGTCCAGGTGGTCCGGTGCGCAGAAGCCGTGCCTTCGGTAGGCTTTTAGGGCTCTGGGGCTTTGGGTTTCAGGGTTCAAGGTTTAGGGTGTTACGGTTTTGAGTTAGTGTAGGGGTTTTAGGGTTTACCTGGATCCCAAATCACCTGCCTTTTTCCGGGTTCCCTAATATGATTTCTTTTTATGAATCCTTAAAATATGGGTTATTTGGGGTTACGGTAGGGGTTCAGGGTGGTTTAGGGTTAGTGTTAGGGTTTAGAGCAAGAGTGTGTGAGGTTGGGGTTTTGGGTTGAGATATTGGGGTTTCGGAGTGATGAGATTATTTGGGGTTTAGGGCTCTGGGTGTTAGCTTTTAGGGTTTGGGGCCCTTCCGTCGGGCAGCCTTTGTGGAGAGTAGCGGGCAAATCCACACAAGCACCAGATGCGGAACTCGACATTATCCGAAGCTCAGATCTCGGCCAGAATTCTGGAGGATCTGGCTCAGGAGTTGGAGGCTTCTCCTCACAACTTGGGGCTTCACAATGATTATATAAGTGAGCCTTTGCAACGGCTTGCAAACTTTAGAATTGCAAGACTGACGTTCGTGGTTGGCCTGTGCCTTGAGCTTTGCAGTTCATCGTTCCCAGTCACATCTATTGTAGTTTCATCTCGGTTGGTGGTAGCAGCAGGAGCAGCAGCAGGAGCAGCAGTAGAAGTAGAAGCCTTAACATCCGGGCACCTCATTTCAGCATGTAGGCAATCAGCAGTCCTCCTCCTGCTGGCCTTCTTCTCCCTCCGGCGCATCTTCGGCGGTGTCAGCCGGTTCCCTGCCCAAAAGACCCAGACCACCCGAAGATCAAACAAAGTACTGACTGGCTCTATAACCGCCCTCGCCAATCATCTCTCGAGCAACTGCGCTCGATCCCTTTCCCTCCATCCTTCGAGGACCACGTGTCCCCCCCGCCGCCTCCCTGTTATGATGCGCTGCGAACAGTGCATACCCAGGCCTCTCCACAGGCACCGGCTCTGGAGCAGGAGCTTTGGGCGCGGTCTTTGGCAAAGGCAGGTCCGGCTCGACGGCGGGTCTGGCGGCGTACCTGGCAATTTCAAGCCGATCGATCTTGGAGTTGATCTCGTGTGTCCCTTGGTTCTCTGTGTGCGTGTGTATATGTATGTATATATATATATATATATATACATATACTTACGGCTGCTTTTTTGGTCGACCACGACCACTCAGCATGAAGACAAAAGGAGTGCGAATGAGACCTGTTGCTTTTGGCGAAAGTAAATGCTGAACCGGAGTGGAGCACCAGCGTTCGGACGCCGGAAGGAAAACCTGGCGCCAGGAAGAGGTCTGGAGCAGGAGGAATACAAGTTCAAGTTCAGAGGCTCGTCGTGTTTGGCGATAGCCGCCATCCTCGTCTTAGTCTTAGTTGCAACAGGATATCATGGTAGCAAAGCTTTCTGCAAAGAAACAAAGTAGCCCATGGCGTTCATGATGACAGCATCATGACCAGCTTTGCTACTGAGACATGACACTGACCACACAGCAAACTCATCTGCTACCCTACCCTCATCATGCCCACCGGAAACTTCGAGACCTGGACTTTGCTCACATGGGAACTAGCCTCTCTTTACGGAGTTCGTGTGGCTTTGTTCTTTCATCGGCTCCTACTCTCTTCAGGGTGGCTAGTATTGCGAGCTGGTGGCTGCTTTCCGATCCCGCTCCGCTCGCCTTTTCCAAGAAGGCCTCCAGCTGAATGTGGGCATCAAGGGAGGATGCATTCGCCGCCTCAGCCGTGCACTAAGCCGCCAATCCTAGTCCTCTTTGCTTCAAGTGCCCTCCAAAGCCCCGATGTGCTCGGTCCTTCTGCCGACAATGAATCCAAAGAGGAAGTTAGCAGAAGCAGCAGCAGCAGCCGGAGGGATCAAGTGGTGGAGTCGAGTAGGACCAGGAGTCGAGCCCGAGGAAGTGGAAGCGGTTTCATGCATGATACAAGATGACCTCGCCACCCATTGCCCCGAGTTTCGCACTCCTTCCGCTGGTATCCTTGCCATCCGCAACCTGAGCACGAGGATCCTTGACAATGCTTCGGACGTGACTGCTTCGGACGTTCCTGATCGCGGTGATGGTGGCTTAAAGGCCACGAGTACAGCCAAAGTCTATAGTGATACTTGTGCTACTAAGTAAATACCTACGACAAGTGACCCGGCCCCTCGCGCCGTGAAGCCCAAGGCCGAAAACATTGAGACATTGAGACACTGCTACTAAGGTACTTCAGCACTCTACGCTGCGTCCGGCTCCGGGTCCCAGCGGGAAGGGGCTTTGATGGCTTCGATGATTTCGCTGGCCACAGGCCCCACCTAAACCCGTATAAGGGTACCCTGAAGGGTACCATAAGGGTCCCTTTAAAAGAACCCCTAAACCCGCGGAGCCCACTCGATGAGTTCTCGGTGGGGTGCCATGTCGTGCGAACACCGTGAGTTCTCCTGTAGAAGAAGTGTTTCTAGAACCAGAAGAGGGTTTTGCAAAAAAACCCGAGGCTTCGAAATCCGTGCCCCAGAAATCCTAAGGCCAGAAGCTTCCATGCAGGGCTCCGGCAGTAGCCGCTGAAATTCTGCGAAGGTCAGCTCTGTCTCGAGGTAGTCGAGAAGAGCTATGCCCTGAACCAATACAGGTTGGGTACGGACCCCATAGAGTAACAGTCTATAATAGGGCTACTATTAAGGGCCTTATATGTCTATATTATAAATATTATCCAACTGTTACTGAGTGGGGGCCGTACCCAAAATACAGGATCTAGAGTCTAGAGTCTGGCGGATGCAGTGACCGAGTACTGTAGAGGTCGGGTTCGGGATGGAGCATTCACCGGAGCTTTCAAGAGATGTTTCCTGGAAGCAATGCCTGCAGCATTGGTCTGCTAGTGATGCTTGCATCAATATGTGCCGATGGTTCAACAGCCGAAGCACAAGTCAACCTGCACCAATGCACCAAAGAAACTTTCAGCCCGCCTCTTCACAGCTACGGGGTTTGGTGGCAGCTGCGAGAGCTCAGTTGTACAAATAAGCTAGCATCATGGAATCATGCTCGCCAGCCGTTTCTTTCTTCCTAGGCCCATGCTCGAACCGCACCCTTCTGACCAACCTGTGTCCTCTGCCTATGTTCAAAGTAGGCAGGTCCACAAAGACAACAGTTCAGGCGAAACGATCCCTGCATGAATGGATTGCTGCTGGGATGCCTTGCCTCGTTTCTGGACGCCTCGCCGGCAGTCCAACATATCCTCATCCTCGCCGGCTCCTGGAAAACCTGAACATTCAGCAACGCCTATGACGAGTCATAGTGACATGCCGTTCTCCTGACCTACGCAAAACTCGGACTTTCGATGTTTCGAGTAACAGTATTTGTCTCGAATGCAGAGAGGAGACAGCGGGATGGACCGCACTGGGCTTGTGCCGTGGAAGCGGGGCAGTCTAGAGCCCCAAATCTCCTACTTCGGCTTATGAAGAAGCTCGTCTATTGCGGTCCATCGCATAGACCGCAGGAGCAGCTCCAAGCACACACAAACACAGGGGCAAATCATCTAGCAGCCTATCCCATGCCTCAGTTGAACAAGTCTCAGCTCGCTTCAATATCACGCAACATCTTACTTGCAGCAGATCAGAACACATCAACACCCCAAAGCCTCTGTCAAGATCTCGAAGACTTGCGAGAAGTCTGCCTGGACACTAACGATGCAGCAAGACACCATGCCTTACCCACATGCTTGCCGCAAACATCTGCTTGGGATGGGAGTGATTGAAGATGCCACAGTCAGTGAAAAAACTGAAAACACTGAAGAATCAACTGAAGCCACAACATTTAATCAACGCAGCAGCCCGTTCAACGACTGTCCAACAAAAAGATGATTCTGGGCAAGGCGCTCAATCTGTTCGAACTACCGCTGTGAATGTTGCGTGTACCCTTCTTGGAGCAACGTTGTCAATCGCTTCAGGTTTGGGGATTGTACCCGACTCTACCCGATAGTCCTCGTCAACGTTGATATGCTCCATACATCTCATGGACAATACGCGTAGCCCTGGAGAGCTCCGATGGATCAAGCCAGTCAAAAACAAGATA